TTCTCCGCGTTAGAATCTAAGTAGTTGTTCTGTTGTCTTTGTATAAAGTCATCTGTTACTTCCTTTCTGTTAGATTTGTAATGTTTTTGTTTCTCTCTTTTTTACCTGTCGCCTTTTAAGCGCTAACAAAGAAGAGACAAACGAGGGACTTAATAATAATAATAATAATAATAATAATAGCTAATCTTTATTGAGGATGCCAACATCACAAAAAAGTGGTTTACAGAGGGGTCCTCTAAAAGTAACTAAATATAATATAATTACTCAAAAATAAAAAGAAAAAGAATACAAATCGAAAAATATGAAGATAAAACTACATTATTTGAAAGTTAACATGCGAAAAACGAAACTAATTAAAATAGTGCTTTCTTGATACCATGCTTAAATTGGCTTAAGGTGGGCACATCTCTTAGGGAAAGGGGTAAGGCATTCCAAACGACCGCTGCAAAATTTATTGTTATCCAGAATTGTTATTCAGAACCACAATTATTAAAGAGAGTTAAATTATAGAGCTATTGACTCTTCTTATGTGTGTTTGATCACACATGAAGAAGTGTTGTTAATTATTCACATGAATCCAAGGGAAATCAGTTTTGCTTTGAGGTAGCAGGGAATTCAAGTTACCAAGGGTTCAAGTTATAGGGGTTCAACTGTACACAAATGTTTAATGAGAAGGTTTTACAGTTACTGTAGGTTCATACTCTACTGGGTCAAAGCTGTGGATGGTTTTCAAAGTTTTTTTAAATTACAATCCACCATCGATCAATTAACGGACTGTGTTGCTATGTGTGGGGAGAGATTGGGGAGAGTCAAACGGACAGTTTCAATTAACGGACTTTGTTGCTATGTGTGGTGGAGAGATTGGGGAGAGTCAAACAGACAATTTCAAATGACTCTCCTACAAGTACTGTGAATACATCAAAAGTAAAATTTTATTTGTCAGTCTTTTGTAATTACAATTATTTTGGATATTGGTGAAGTGACATGTAAGCACTGGCAAACTGACTTTAGACATTGGTGAATTGACTTCATACATTGGTGAACTGTTCATCGGCAGAATGACATGTTGGCAAAACGACCTGTTACCTCCAAACTATATGCACTTTTGACCACGACAATTACAATTTCATTTGTATTTGTTCTAGACTTACAGTAAAAACAATCTTTGGCCAAAAAAATTAAAATATCAAATTTCAAACATTAAAAAAAGTCAATACTTGTTCATAACATATGTACAATAAATGTTTGAAATTGTGCTTCAGTAGCAAATTTATTCAATGGATGATTTGATTGAGGACTTGAGCTATTGCAATTCGTTTAATTCCAAGCTTTTGCTGATCTATGGCATCATTAGGGAATGTAAAGAAAAATAATGTTCCACTATATGTGATACAAAAGTAATGTAAGAGATACAAATGATTAAATACGAATGATGATGTAATATGGACAATGAATTGTCCAAATAATTATGGTGAATTGGTAACACACACTAAACATAGAAATTACTGATGAGCAGAAGGAAGAACTGAAGATCTAAGCAGTCTAATTTAAAAGAAAAATTCTCTGAGTTCACTACTTTCTTCCTGGGAATTAAGTTTGGGTGTACACTTTCCAATATAAAACATCAGGACTTGACACTAACTTTCAACTTACTAGCCAAGTGGCGAGTGACAACTTAGATGTTACAACAATTTCAGCTTGTTTAGTAGCCAAACTGGTTAGTGGCTACCGTAAGTGTTGAGCCCTGAAACACCTTGAATAATCGTACGTTGACAAGGTCATTTTCTTTTAAAATTATTTTGACATCATTGCTATGATTGTTAATTACAGTTCTATGGCACATTACGATGTGTTATTTTTTACAGATGAATAGTCATTGGTCAAGTGTTCACACAGTCACATACATATTGCATCACCTACATCACTTTTACACACACATAGTGGAATATTTCTTTTAAATATTTCCCTGGTGATGCTGGCAAAGGCTTGGAACAAAAAAGAAACACAATAGCTCAAGATCTCAATTGAATCTTCTATAGATACATGACTTTTTGTGTGATTAAGAATGAAAGAAAATCATCCCAGGTTACATTTAGTACACATACCTGTGTTTTTGCTAATCTCAGAGGATCTGAGGCTTGTCCTGTCATGACATTGTGAAGGAGTATGTCTCCATTCACTGACCCTGATGCAATAGACGTGTCATTCCAGTTAAAAGCTACACAAGAAACAATATCCTTGTGATCCTGTTAAATAAATTTAAAAAAATATGTAGATGTTTCCTTCAGTTTCCAATTCATTGGGACATTTAACTAAAATTATTACAATTTTCAAAGAAAATCATTGTTTACTATAATGACTAATAACAAAATACCTGCAGAAAAAGTGACAAATACATTTACAATAAAGAGAATTCTGAGAACAGATATTGCCTTTATTAATTACCATCCAAAAGTAAAATGAAAACCAAAGTTAATGTTATCAAAAAATAGATCAATAGTAGACAATTCAGCCTGGAATCCCTTTTATAATGAGAAAAATGAAGATATTATATCATAATGTTATGTCAGTTTACTTCCTTGTGTTAATTTAAAGTAAACCATTAAAAAAAGACATTGTTCACATTTTGATTCTCTTCATAATGCAGGGCTCAACACTAACGGTAGCCCACTAGCTACTGACTAGTAGAAATTCAGTTTTTGCAAGTGCCTTTCAGTTTCTACTGGCCAGTTTAGCTAGTGAACAAACTGACATTGTTGTAGCATCTAAGATGTCACCAGCCACTTGGCTAGTAAGTTGAAACTTAGTGTCCAGCCCTGATAATGTGACTCACCTTGTATGTTTTCTTTATGCTTTTTGTTTTCATGTCCCAAATATTAAGAGTTTTACTATTTCCACCAGTCAGCAAATAACGAGAGGATGAATTAAAGGCCACACAAGTATTCCCCTCCTACAATTTTCAAAGAATTATTATAAATAGACATCAAAAATTAGCACAACATACTTCATCATTAATACTACATGCAAAATAGAAATAATCATAGAAAGCCTTTGATAATAGCTTTTAAAAGAGAGTTAGCGGTTTCCTTAAAAAGAAACTGTTAAGCAACAAAAACGTAAAATAATTGCACTTACCCCAGCAGTAATTTCAGTTGTATCATACTCATCCCCCTTTACATACGTGACAACAACTTTGTCATTTGCAGCACTAGCCAAACACTGATCTGACAATGTTAAGGATAATTCTTACATCAGCTAAACAAAGAACTAAAGTGGTATAATACTGGACAATACAGTGGAACCTCAATTTAATGAACCTCTATATAACAAAGTCCTTGATATAACAAATGATACTTTTCAGCCCAGCTAAAGTTACTGTAAAATGTATGCCACAGAACCTCAATACAACGCAACTTAATATAATGAAGTCATCGTTATAACAAACACAATTCAAAGCCCAAACATATGCATATAACCCGATATAATGAACAAATGTCAACACCTGACCAAAGACAAATGCAAAACAGACCAACAGAGCAGTACTATACAGTAGTGTTCTGTTGTTTAATACTGTTCACACTGTTCATGTTCATTATGACATTTGACAAGTCAGGCACAAAAGAGAATTTCTGTGCTCTTTCCCTTAAAGAAAAGGCACATTTTAACGAAAGACAAAATATGAGGCAAGTAGAGAAATTTCTTGATTAAGTTCTTGATTAGCAATTTTAGTAGTAAAGTAAAGAATGACAAAAAATGAGGTAACTTTCATTGGGAGAATTTTGGATTAAGCAACACACACACGCACACAAAATATAACAACAATTATTCACCATACCTTGATATAACAAACATTTAGGTTGTTTTTTCACAAATTCATTAATTGGAGGTTTTTGGTGCAAGTAACCCTCTATATCCCCAGTCCCTTGGCACTTCGTTAAATTGAAGTTCCACTGTACTAAGATTCAAACCCTTTGTAAGATTTTCAAAGGTCTATTATCCTGACAGACAGTTACAGTTCAATAATGAAAACTTTTAGACACTAAGAAGAGTGTTGGTGAACTGATCCACTACCAATTCAGGACCTCATCACTTCATTCTTCTAAACTATATAATGTTCATTAGGCATCGGAGATTGGAGAATTCTCCGGGAACTACACAGAATTCTCTGGTTAAATTAGACAGCCGGTTGGGCTGTATTATTTAATACTTTTATTCAGATGTGGAGCCGTTATGAATGAGAACTTTATTTGGCAAAAATGCTTTCTCTCTTTAAGCAAAATGAACAGAACATTTTAAACAAACAGTGTCCTTTCACATAATTCTTTTTTTTTCCTTGAGAGTCACATCACGAACGTAGCACGCCGTCACAGTAGTCATATTTTTATAAATTTCAACGTCCTGTCAATGTGAATTTAACTTGAAGCTGGCAACTTTGAATGGTTAAATAAGTAGTGAATGAAAATATAAATGAACTTTTTTCAAGTGCCGGGAGTATTAACCAAGAAATTAAGAATGAATTGGGACATGCAAATATATCGAAAAACTAGTCGACGACCTGCAGCTGCGTAAGTACTATTATGCATGAAAATTCTTGTTCTAAGAGTTAAAGAATACATCAGAAAAATAATTGAGAAAGGTGTGGAAAGAAAACTTGGCAAAATTTTGGTGGATAAACTGAACTTAATTTACGGGAAAAAAAAACGATTTTTGTGATATGAACTAAAAGCAAACTGGAGATGTTTATTGTATCATGATATGGGTCCCTATGAGTATCAAATTACTGCTACAACAAATGCAAATCTCCGTTTTAACCAATTCCTTGTAAATAGAAAAACTATAATTTGTAATTGTACAATGAAAAACAATGGTCTATCCATTGATAAGCCTTCCCATCCAAGAAATGCTAAGTCTTGCCAGTCGCCGACAGACTGGCGGGAAAAAGTTTCCTCACCTCTCGTCCTTTTGCTAGGAACATGAAAGTGATGACAGTGAAAACTCAGACAGTGGAGTCGATGAGTAGACTTAACCCTTTCACTCCTGAAAATGACCCCCCCTTTCATTTGAAAGTTCATGGTGCAGTGTATATTATTTGGGGAGGTAGATTGTGACCTAGTTGATATGACTTGAGGAGTAAAAAGGTTAGAGCTCTTGATTTAACCTTACTCACCTGCTTGCTAACCAAATTCAAAGAACAAAACCCTAAGGTATACATCGTTTTAAAATCAGCAACTGGGAACAAAATTGTACCTCAGATAACAGGAAATAGCATCTCAGAGGGTTTAAAAATCCACATTTTTCCTGGGGGGAGGCATGCCCCCAGACCCCCCCTAGGGGGGGGAACAAGCAAAGCTTGTTCCATGAAAGAGCTTCGTTCATTCAGACTGCCTCTCCAGCTACTTCTTCCCATTCTCCTGCTACTCTAATTCTTAATGAAAACCCTGGAACTTCCATCAATGTTTCTTCTAATAGAGGAGGAATTTTGCATCGAAAAAGAAAGTGTTTTGGCAATCTTTCCTTCCCATAAGCTGCACTCGTGTATTAGACAATACTTCATACATCATATGTTACAAATCACATCTACATATGTACCCTCCCTGCCTGGGAGAACTGACTGTGTTATCACTCATGTCTTCTTATCCTTCAGTATATTCCCATTCATTGAGTATACAACCCTCTTCCTGAGGTTTTAGGAGTCATTTTGTTTTTGGTAGTTGTAAACCTCTTGTTTAATAACAAAAAATAGGATGTTGATTAAAACTGTTCTCTATTTCAATGCTGGCCACTTTGTAACAAGAGCTATCAGATTCTTCCTCACAGAGAAGATCCCACACTTCAGAGAGTTCATACACTTTAACTCATAAAATATCACAAAATTCTGACCCTTTCCAATACTTTTGTGATTAGCTACGATTGAGAATTTGGTTTCAAAATTATACGAAATTATTGCTTTTTTCTGTTGACTGACAAATGGTTACAGAACATTTTCCACGACTTCCCAGGCCCACACCCAAATTCTAGTTCCTTCTACGTTTTCCATAACCTGTGCGAACCCTTTTATGACATCATGTTGACGTGAAAATATCACAAGGACTTCAGATATGATATTAGCAAAAATTCAAATAATTAAAAATATCTATCACCTTCAAGATTCTTTAACGAGAAAAACACCATTCATCAAGGGAATTTTATACTGCAACTTAAATAAAAGCTTACAAGTAACAATAAAAAATGTAGAATATAATTATTAATGAGAAATGATCGTCTAGAAGATTAAAACACATAATTCGACAAAGTGAAAGATACTGTTGGGACTCCAACACAGCGAACCCACAGGCTGAGAGTGAGGACTAAAGGCTTTCACCATGTTCAATTCCGGCATGTCCCAAATCTTTACATCGCCTCCAGACGAAGCAAGTCGCAGCTTTGAAGTCATTTTCGACCCCCTCCTTCGCTCAGTCAGTTCTATTTTTACATGTTCTGAATGTGCTCTGAGAAGTAATTGACATCCGACATAGACCCAATATTACCGCCATTTTTTTGTTCGCAGTGGTCCACCTTCCCATGATACTTTTCGCATTATTATTATCCACTGACCAACAACATACTGGGCTCATGGAGCGCCATCGTCCCCAATATTTGAAATCACGCGGAAAATTAATAAAATCGTCCTAAATCGATATCACGCGACATACTCGTGCCAGACGCGTGACCAAGAGGCAAAATTCAGGTTTAAAACTACAGCAAGAGAGAGTTATGGCCTCAAAACGGAAAGTGGGCTTACTTTAAGACACTAGCCGTTCGTTTCCCCGACAACTGCAACGCCCGTGAATCGCTTTCCCGCTCATTAAGCAGCACACAAGTAGCTTAGGGGTTAAATATGTGGCCGTGTTTTCTTTGTAATCGCAGCACGAATATTTATTCTTGGTCGACCGTTTTAACTTGCGAAGAATTTATATTTTCTCTCGAATCCCCGTAGATAGGTGATTTAGCTCGGGGATCGGATGCAAACGTGGTCCGGGCTCCCCAAGAGCTGTTTAAGTTTGGTGAGATTGTGTGGCAGTGAGCAAAACGACTTTCCCCTTCACTGAAGTCACTGAATAATTTGGATAATGTGACTTGACTACCGTAAAGAGTTTCTAAAGCTGACATTTCGACCGTTAGCCCTTCGCCTGCACCAGCTGTCTATTCTTTTCGAAATACATTTTGAAGCTGTTTCGAGTTTCAAGAAAATCAATGTTTGTTTTGCCTACACCTGATCCAGTCACAGACCTGATCCTGATCGCAACCAGTCAATCACAATTTCTATGGACTCTTGTTGGATACGGGGATTTCGGGCAAATCATCAGATTTCAGTTTTCGGATTCTAAGTCTCTAATGACACCGTTACGTCTAACTTGGAACTCTAATGGCAAACAGAAGATGACAAAATTATTTAATCACATTAAACTATTCTCTTGGGTATTTTTTTCCAGCTACACGGGAAAACGTGTCCAACTGAAACGCTCTAATTACATTATGTGGGACGGGAAATGACAAAAGGATGATCTGATTTACTGCGCTTCTTGCCGAACAATCCCCTGAGGGTTCTAAGACCGCAACGCTATCTCCAGGTTTTGATAAAGCATTCTAAGTGATCATACGCGCTAATAAATGAAACAACAATACAACAGAATATTAACGAGATCTAAGTGAATAATCATGTCCGCTGTAAAGTGGTTAAATGCTTACGCGGCGCTCTTTTGATACAGCAATTGAATAGAGCTCTTAATAAATCTTAATTATCCGTGGACAATTAAGTTCGCGGCGATCGAATCAAAACAAAGGTTTTGTTTTTAACATAAAGGAAAAGGCTACTGGGTTTTCTAGGACGAAGGCTTCGTTTAATTGTTCCAAAGCTGCGTTTTGTTTGAAAAGTTTTTAAGTTTCCTTTTATTCAGTTTACTTTCTCTTTCAGAGCTTAAGTACTATTTCGATAGTCAAGTTAAAAGTTTAGTCAAACTTTACCTGTCGCACAAGTCTTATGTGTCTGACGTTTACATCCACAAGTCATAATGCTGAATCATTGTTACCTTCCTCAGCTTAACCCTATAAAACGATTTTGAAAAAGAAAGGTTGCTTGTGCTGAGGAAACCGTCGTGATCACTTCAGCTTGGTGTTGATTGTCATTCCAGAGGTATTATTCTTTATTTCAAAATTGCCGATTCACCTTTGTTCTCCGTATTTCGACCTCAAATAATTTTTCGCGGCACTGTTTCTTTCGGATCTCAAGCCGCATTGAACACTCTGTGAAATCTTTTTGTAGGGTATGTAATATTTTTCACTCTATAATTGGACACATACGCTGAAGGTTCATATAAACTAACCTATTTTGGGTTGCCACCCGATCTGAATTGTGAGGAGTAGGACGTTTTTTTTTCTTCTCAAGCTTCTTTTTTTAAAAGTCAACGAAATCTGAAAACTGTCTTTCAAAGCTATGTTTCGCTCCTCCGGTTGTCAAAGATTACCTTGGCAAAAGAGAAATCCTAAATGCATTCAATATATTGAAAGCTAAAACTAAAAAATATTAAATTGAACTTTAAATGCGAGGTAAAAGTTGAGTTTGATTGGATTGTCAAGTTGCACCGAAGATCACAGCAAGAATGCTAGAGAATATTCCGACCAAATTACGATTACATGCTGAAACGCGGATTGTTAATGAAATAAACACAAAATATATGAAAAATGACCACTTTTCTGTTTTGAACAAAGTATCTAAATAGCGCACGGATTTTATTCCGCAGGGATTTGATCACAAACTCTGAAGTGAAAAGGTAAAAATAATTTGATGGTTTGAAGGCGTGATACGTGCTACAAAGACAATAATTTGTTCGCATTCGCGTGCGAGAATCGAGCTTTTGATTACATCAGATCAAACGCCGCTTCTCATTGGCTCTCTAGAAAATGACTGCAAAATTGCGTGCCCGCGCCAACATAATTTAGCTGAAGAGTTTATGCAAAGAATCATTTCCCAATCTAGCGTCTCTCAGAGACGATCTCAGAAATACAGACAGGAGCTTTTTCCAGTGGACAGTACCAGACACTAGACATGGCAGAAAGAAGTAAGCTTACAAGAAGACGACAGGTAGATTAGACGTCCTTTCCTTCTTTTAGTTCGCTTTGCCGAGTGTTTCCTAGTTTCTCACATTTATTCTTACTGTTTCCTTTCAGCAGACGACCAAGCCATTGCTGGAAAGACAAAGAAGAGCGCGGATAAACCGAAGCCTTGAAGAGCTCAAAAGCCTCGTTTTGTCTGCCTTGTATCATGATGTAAGTTTACTTAATAAATTTTATAACTTTATTACTCAGTCTCATTCTTATCAAAGCCAATAAGTATTCTTTACTTTGTTGCTAACCACTGTTTATTGTGCATTCCTTATTCAAACATTTCTATTCTGCTGTAAACTTCTATATTCACTAAGAAATCTCGGAGCAGAGACAATATCGCACTTAACTGACTCAAGTGACAACATAATCACTGTTAATTTCATGATCAGTTTGTAGTCAACTTGTTTTTTTTTCTCGATAGAATGAACAAAATTCTCAAAAGATGGAGAAAGCCGAAATTCTGGAGCTCACCGTGAATTTCTTAAAAATGATTCGAGAGCAACAAGTAACCGGTGAGTAGGTTTCTTTTGGTAGCTCACTGCAAAGCTTGCACTGTGCGGTGGATTCCAATCGCCCAATGTTGTTATGGCTGCAAATCACTCCTCCCTTTGTTTTGTTTCATAGGTTATTGGATTAATCCGCAAAGTGAGTCGGAATCTCAGCATAGCAACTACAGAGCAGGATTTAATGCATGCGCAGCTAGAGTGCGCAGGTTTATGGAAAACCAACCTGGAATGAATCCTAAGCTGCAGGAACAAATACTTGAAAGTCTGACGGTGTCTCACAGCTACAATGTCCACACAAATCAGACATTTGTCAACAAGAACACCTCCATGTCCTTCACTCCTGGTCAAGCAGTGTACGGCGTCTGTGGCTTACAAACCACTTCAGAGCCGCCACGTACCTGTGCCTTTACACCCCCGCCATCTCCACCCCAGTCAAGTGCATTCCGCCCGTATGACCGCAGTGAAACTACTACATTAACTGACGGGAGTAGCAACTCACCAGACAACTGTTATTCAACAGCTCACATCAAAAGAAGCATTGTGGAGCCATGTAAACTCTCGCTTTGGAGGCCTTGGATTCCGTCATCACAACATGGACAAATCTAATTGTATGATTAATTGATTTTCGATGGTATTTGCACAACACCATATGTATTCCTGAAAAAAAATTCAAATAATACAGCGCTACCGCGCTGGATGAGAAAGGGACAGAAAACTGAAAATCCGACGAGCACACTTGTTTGAAACAACAAATTGCAGTACAGAGTTGCCTGTCGTCGAGAAGGACTGAACAGTTTCAAAAACGAAAATTCAATGACCCGCGGTAGTCACAATACAAGGCATGGCTACTTTCAATTCCTATTGATATTGAAAGAAGATCGATCTTTGTTTCGATCAGGTTTAAAAATCATCATTAAAATGTGTTGAAGCTTGTAACTTTTGTTTGATGAGCACGAAGGGGCCAGAGCCAGGGGGTGTTTGCGTATACCAGAAGGAACTTTGTTTACGCCCATTTAAGATGTCTTTCAGGACCTAAAAACATTTGTCTTTCTAAAAATTGTAAACACGACAACAAAAACGAAACGAACACATTTATTTAGATTACCAAGCACAATCGACTTTCCCGTATCGTCTTCAGTAGCAAATGTTCGTTGTATAATTAAATTTACATCGCATAATTACACTGTGCCATAAAATAAACTGCAGAATTTTCGAAATACCGAGGATGGAGATTATAGAATGGCGTTGCAGTCAACTCTCTCTTGCGGCCACAACTCTCTCGAGTACGGTGCCCAGTAAGGGACATCAGATGAAAAACATAAAACAGATAAATAAGTGGCAGTGCCAGATAACTAGGTGGCAGTGCCAGATAACTGAGTAGCAGTGCCAGATGAATAAGTGGCAGTGCCAGATGAATAAGTGGCAGTGCCAGATGAATAAGTAGCAGTGCCAGATAACTAAGTAGCACTACCACTTAAGTAGCAATGCTAGATAAATAAGTAGCACTGCTCGTTACAAAAATTGTTTTTCATCTGATGTCCCTTACTGGGCACCGTACTCGAGCGACCACTCTTGAAATAACTGTTTTCGTGCTCTGAGAAGCAAATTGTGGTGCTCCTTTCGCGTTCCCTCTCCTCCCCTCCTCCTTCCCCCACCCCCCCCAAAAGTATCGCATTGCGGTCACCCCTTTAGTTACATAACAGAATAACGTGCATCTCACTGTAACATCAATGTATAACTTATACTTCTATGTAATTAGAGAAAGCAGTAAACTACGCTGGTGGTGAAGACAGATGTGGACGCCTTGCATAATCAGACAAGCTGGTGAAAAAGGCTCGGTTTGTTCTCATCAAATTCATTGCAATGTCCCTTCTGATGTTTCAGTCTCATTTCCAGATCATTTGTTGTCAACTGCCAGTGTAGCGAGCGCCTGGCATCCTTGTCAAAAATTTTCCCACCCCTCTGCCCCCCTGGAGTATGGGCCAGTTAAAGGGCGTGCGACGAAGTCGCTAGGTGGGGAGGGACGGGTTAAGTAGTCGGATGACGTGTAACTCAAGATGGCGACTGTATCAGACCTTCGCTCAGCAGTGACCGAAGCAGGCTAGGAATGAAGTAATGCTTCACAGAACAAAATGAGGCGTTCAAGGATGAAAGGTACTACTTCATATGTATTTAAAGAAATGTTGGCTAAGAAATAAATTTGCTCGTGATGACAAAGCTGACTAACCCTCGTCCTGTTTAGTCTGTTTAAAACGGGAGATGACGCCGAGCCCTACTCCATGCAGTACCATATGGAGTACTTAAATGGAGTACCCCTAAAAATCATGTATTGGTCGAATAAAGTACTTTACAAACATGGTAAATCGTATAGATGTACACATCTCGTAATTAATACATTTTGAGCTTGCCAGCTCTCCAATTGTCACAGTTCGATACAGTCCAGTTTTTTTGGGGGCAGGGGGGCTCTCAGTGTTACTGGTTCTTCCATTTTGGTTTTACCGCTGTGTAATGAGTCCTTTGACCTGAAGACAAAAAACTCCATATGATGAATAAAACCCTCTGTTTCGAGTTTTGCACGAGGTAAAATATTTCCGCTTACTGCATTTGCCAAATCAACCGCCCCAGTCAAATGTGTTTGCTGACCCATCGGTGTTTTTAGTTGTTGGTGTTGTTGTTATTGTTGTTGTTTCTTTATATATCTCAATTTTATTACGCTACAAATATATGGGTGAAGAGAAGGTCAGTTTAAACACATGAATTACTTTCTTTTGAGTCCTAGCTTTTATCCTCATCTGTGTTGATAGATTAAACGCCACACCTCTTGCAGACACCCTACATAAACAGGTACTTTGAAAGACGTAAAACCCGCTGCCGATTGAAGTACGTCCTTTTGGCCTCTTGGAGATCATAAGATGAAGATGGTAATCGATCCATTAAAGAAAACGTTCACAGATTACATTTCATTAAGCCTTCCGTTTGAAGTGGCCAGCAGTTAAAATAAATGTTAAATTCAAGATGGCGGTCAATTTGTGGACCGTATCGAACTGTGACAATCATACAGCTGGCAAGATCAAAATACATTAACATGTGTACAACTAAACGATTTACCATCTTTATAAAGTATTTTATCTGACCAATACGTGACTTTTAGGGGTACTCCATTTGGGTACTCCATTGAGGTACTCCATAGGGTACTCCATGGAGTAGGGCTCCGCGTTTTGTCATCTCCCAGAGATCAGGGCTGGGAAGAAGCAAGTGGTTTGATAATGGTGTTTGTTTTGAAAGTCTAATTTTTGGATTTACAGTTTTTGATTTACGGTGCTTTTAGAATATATTTTTTGAGGCTTTATTTAGGAAGGAGTTTCTGTCAAATAATAAGTGTGTACACATCCTCCGGAACATCCACTAGATACATAGATAACATGTGCCTGGCCCAACAATGTCATGACCGCGTTCTTTCTTAACTCCTTGTGCTTGATCTGTGATATTATTTGACTGATATGATTTCAAATTACTTTCATTAAAAACTTTGCATAGTGTAAGTCCACTTTGTCAGAGTGTATAATTTTATGTTTGCTTGTCTCTGCATTACTATTACTTTATCCAAACATTTTTGTCTTAAACTGGTGTTTTAAAACAACATGAGATCATTATGGCTCGTTAAAAACAGAGTTGTTTCATCAACAGCATCTAACTTTCTCTATGTGCAGATAAAAGAGACCATTAATGAAGGCCCAATCCACAATCTAAAGTTTTATTAAATGGACAAAATCTACAATCCATGCAAAAGTTTCTAATAAGTCCAGAGTCCATGCTTTCTTTTTTGCTTTTTTTTTCTTTTGGAATTTGTGAAGTCACAGAAGTTTTTTTAAATTTATGAAATTGGCCTAGTCTGCAGATCCCAAAAAGCCAATTCACTCTTGGAGAATTTTTCAACAAGGGTTGCCTACTATTACCACCTCCATGGAAGCTAACTATTTTTACTAGTATGGTTACTTGTACCACTATTCTTGATAATAGAAGGGGAAACTGGTAAGATTGAAGACATAGGTAAGCAGCTTTATTTTTGGAATTCAGGAAATCTACTCCTGTGATTGTGTCTCAGAAATGCTTGTTTTCTTTTTATCTTAGTCAAATATTTCACAGTATTTTTTTGACTATTAGGCAATAAATTTGATTGTCGAGATCTTTTTGTTGACTATAAGCAGTCCTTTGTTTTCAGCGAAGTCTGTAGCATGAGTAAAGAAAAATCAGTGGAGAAAAATTGATAAATTATATTAACTTACTGCACTGAATTCTGGGAGTGAGGTGAATGAAAACTAGGGACTACAGACCAAGCCAGAGATTAACTTCTGTGTTACACTTCTAATGCAAAAATATGATCACCAGAAATTTGTCAACAAGTGATGATTCATGTCAATGCATTATCAACACTTGAATTTAATTATGGTTGATGAGCTGCAAGTTTGCTGAAACCAAAGCAGACGAAAGAGCTAGAAGCACCCATTGCTGGAAATAATGTTGTGGCAATTTTTCCAACTGGTTTTGGAAAAAGTCTTACCAATCAAGTATTTTGCTTAATAAGCAAAACTCTTGTTGAGCCCTAAAGACACCTAAGTATGTGTCCTGGTAAATTTACTGCTGACTGATTAGCTCCTGTTGTAGAGTGCCTAACTGCCATACAGGAGGTCAAGGGTTCAAGCCCCAGACCAGACCAACACTCAGGGTCTTAAAATAACTGAGGAGAATGTGCTGCCTTTGCTATGATATTTGCAAATGGTTAGACATTTTGGTCTTCTCAGATTCCTGGATATAGACAAAAAACTGTAGGCCCCCACTCCTGCATCTTCTCTATAACTGTTAGGAGGGGATGTTAAAGAACTCTCGCACTTATTGCAAAGAGTAGGGAATGTAGCTCTTAGTGTTATGATCTGGCTTGTTTACTGGAAATTGGGGGCATCTGTCAGATTTGCCTTTATTCATTGTAAACTGCTACAAGCAGTCTGGTAAAGTCCCCTCACAGTGTTGTAAGACTAGCCCTGAAAAGCTGCTATGTACTGCTTCTCAGGATCATGGTGGAAAAAGTGGGTAAACTTTAACAACCTTGGCTTTTCAGCCATTTATTTATCAGAAAGAGATGAAGACTGTGCACCATCTGTAAAAGCAAATTTCAAATTTTTTTGTTCCTCTGAAAGCTGATTGTTTAGCAGTTTAGTAATAGTAAATTATAAGATGGTTAGTGATAAGTAAATGATAAGAATTAACACTCCCTAAAAGGGTTTTTCAGTGAACAATACAATACAATAAGAATAAAAGATATACATGTATAGTAAAAAATATAAAACTATATGTTAAAACTATTTTGTTGTAAGAAACTTGGTAAAAGTGAAGAACAGCTCCCCTAAAAGTCTGTCGGCCGACTGTCAGCCAACTATCGGCCGGCAGTATACCAACAGTTGACCGACAGTTACTCGACCCTTACCATTCTAGTAGAATCAGCTGCATGATGTACCACAAATTGAGCTAAAATTGCATCATCATATGTCCTGGTTAAGTTTATCTAAAGATGAAATCACCCTATAATGCATTGCAGTTTATTTTAGGGCATCATATATGGACTTTCAATTATCTGTCTGTTTGAGTTTATTTTTGGTTAATATTTTCAGTTAGTTTATTATTTTTTTACGTAGTCACTTGTCAGAGGCAATAAAAGCTGCTTACTTTTAGTAAATTGGCCACCGTAACAATTACAAAAGCTGATGTTTCAAGCGTTAGCCCTTCGTCGGAGCGAATAGAGGAATTGTGGGTTGTGTGTTCTTTTAAAGGCAGAAAATGGAGCTACGTTATTGGTGGGAACATAGCAACGAGAAAAACAAGAATAAATTAGTGGAATGAAAAGCGATCGTTGATCCCTGTGGGATTTAGACTGCCGGTTTGAAAGATGAGCTCTTGTTCAAGATTTTTACAGCTTTCCGTGCTACCTAAACTACATAAACGACAAAGTCTTAGAAACTGAGATGTAGTGTGTAGTGATGACTCTGATTTCCACCACAATTGTTTTTCTCGTTGCCATGTTCCCACCAATAACGTAGCTCCATTTTCTGCCTTTAAAAGCACACACAACCCACAATTCCTCTATTCGCTCCGACGAAGGGCTAACGCTCGAAACGTCAGCTTTTGTAATTGTTACGATGGCCAATTTACCATTTCAACTTTGTTGATATATCCAAATTATTTCGTTACCCCCACCGACGCAGCCCAAAACAGTTTCTTTCGAAACTATCAGCCTTTATACTTTTAGTAAAGCAAAAAAAAAGCTGCAAGAAGCTGCTGTAAACAATTTTTTTGCTTCTTGACTGCACGACCCCACAAGCGTGAAGTCGCTTTAACAATTATCGTGTTTAAATAAAGTCATTGTATTGTATTGTATTGGATGATGTGATGGGATTGTGAGGGGTTTGGTACCTAAAAAACCTAAGCATAGGAGATTGCGACGAGATTGGTCCCAAAAAAACCTAAACAAAATGGTGGACTCAAGTGAGAAAGTTTTATTTTGCGTCGATATGCAATGTTCTTCCATGCGAGCTGAGGCTTTTCTGGTATTCAACAGGGGTTCTCAACTGACATTTGGCCAACAAATTACTGACATGCTACCAACAGTCGGCCGACAAACGGCCAACAGTCGGCCGACTGTTGGCAGAAGATTTTCGTAAAAGGCAGTAAATGACAGTCGGCCAATTGTTGGCTGACTGTTGATCAACAGTCGGCCGACAGTTTTTGGGGAAGCTGTTCTTCACTTTTCCCAGAAGCTCATTCAACATCCTTGATTTTAAAGTTTTCTGAAAATTAGTGAGGTCTTTACACAGTTTAAAATCACTGTCTAATGAGTTCCATAATTTTACCATCCTGTAGTGAAATGATCTCTGACCAGCAGCGGTTTTAAATAAAGGAATATTAAGTTGTTGGGAGTTTTTTGTTATTCAGTCAGATATCTGCCTTCTTTTGGCAAACTGTGACATCAGATAGGTTGGGGCACGGTCCGTCATGCACCTGAATGCGAAAATAGCATCTCAGAAGTAAACCGATCAGTTTCCCATCATCATGGCACTACTGGTTTCAAATTGCTTTTTATAACCTCCGCATTTGTTCAGAATTTGCACTCTCTCAACCAGGCAAAATAACCTGACTAGATTTGGAATGTGGTGATCAAGATAACTGCTTGAAAGAGAGAACTTTCTGGGTGTAGAATGGTCAGGTTTGAAGAATCAGGTAGTGTTCAAGTCAGGTATTTAATGAATTCGGAGGTGTTCCTTTATTTAGTTGTGCATTTGACATGAGTGTGTTTGAATGAAGACCAGTTTCTTTTATAAGCTAAACTAAGTTTGCAAACTCAATTGGGCTGCGGGCATTTTTTCAAGTTTTGCTTGTTCAGAAACATGAAATAAAATCTCTGTCTACTCTCTGTTATTAAAGTCCTTGTAATAACTTTTAAAATCATAATTATGCACACAGATGGCAAAAATCATTCTTCAAAGGTTCCTGTACTGTCTTGCTGTTCCTATTGATTCTCTTGGGAGTTTTTGTCCATGTGCCCCATGAGAAATCCAACCATTTCACAGATTTATATTTGTGCCTTGAATTGTGATGTTTATGTGAAGTCTCCCACGTGTTGAGAGGACATAATTGACTGGTCTTTGAGATGAGGAATGTTACTGATTATGCCTAATTGAAATAAAAATGTATAGTGTGAAAATCACTCAGCCATGCAAGGCAAACTCTTTGGCTTAGTCTGTAGTCCCTACTTTTAGTGCCCCTCACTCTCAGAGGATAGTGCATTGCTCAAATATCATTTTTTTTTTCCCCACTGTTTTTGTGGCTACTGCCTCCTATAGCAGGCTAAGCCACATATGTGGTCAAGTGAACAAGTGAGTGAGTGATGGCAACAAATATTATTCAGATCTTGATCCAATATTGTTTGCAATAAACATCTTACAATCATTTCAGGGTAGTGCATGAAAAAAAAAGCTTTTCCTGGCAGAAATATCTTTAAGTTAAGAGCTCTGATAGGCGCATCATGAAGGAATTTTATTTTTCTTTAGAGAGCATTTCAACATTTGATGAACCTGAAGAAATAGTCTTTTTAGTTCTTGCTGTCACTCTACAAAAGATGATATAAATCTCAAAATAATTTCACAGAGGTGTCTTTGGCACTGAATCGAAAACAAGACTTTTCTCTGCAGAAATATTTTAATAGGTTTGATCTGCACATTGTGGGAACTTCAAAGCAAAATTTTACCTTTTTCAAATCAAGGATTTCTGCCCGAAAGAGGCACCAAATTTGCAAAGCAAGCAAGATCTAAAATATGATACCTTAAGTTTAACAGGATAACTAATGGAGCAGTGGAATGGCAGAATATCCTACAATGTTGTATGCCTCACTATATGAAACAAAAGTCTCACAAAAATGAAATTGCAATGAAATAAGAAAATCATTTAATATAATTAACAAGCAAAATTAAGAGAAGATTAATTTAATCATTATTGAAGCCTAGAGGATAAAGTGATGGAGGAGCAATGAGGATCTTGAGTTAGACCTTATGAATTATCATTACTATTAATTGTTATCACTATCATTATTTCGTATATGTGCACGATCCTTCGCAGTAAAGCACTATTTAAGCAATAGTGAAAATCAGACCTGAAAAAAATTCAGGCCTGTACGGGATTCGAACCACTGACCTCTGCGATACTAGTGCAGCGCTCTACCAATTGAGCTAACAAGCCAACTGGGAGCAGGCCATCAAATTAATTCGACATAAACCCGTAGATGATAAATCAAACAACAAACATATGAAATACATATATATGAACTGCGGTTATGAAACGTATATGTGCACGATCCTTCGCAGTAAAGCACTATTTAAGCAATAGTGAAAATCAGACCTGAAAAAAATTCAGGCCTGTACGGGATTCGAACCACTGACCTCTGCGATACTAGTGCAGCGCTCTACCAATTGAGCTAACAAGCCAACTGGGAGCAGGCCATCAAATTAATTCGACATAAACCCGTAGATGATAAATCAAACAACAAACATAACAGTTGGCTTGTTAGCTCAATTGGTAGAGCGCTGCACTAGTATCGCAGAGGTCAGTGGTTCGAATCCCGTACAGGCCTGAATTTTTTTCAGGTCTGATTTTCACTATTGCTTAAATAGTGCTTTACTGCGAAGGATCGTGCACATATACGTTTCATAACCGCAGTTCATATATATGTATTTCATATGTTTGTTGTTTGATTTATCATCTACGGGTTTATGTCGAATTAATTTGATGGCCTGCTCCCAGTTGGCTTGTTAGCTCAATTGGTAGAGCGCTGCACTAGTATCGCAGAGGTCAGTGGTTCGAATCCCGTACAGGCCTGAATTTTTTTCAGGTCTGATTTTCACTATTGCTTAAATAGTGCTTTACTGCGAAGGATCGTGCACATATACGTTTCATAACCGCACTTCATATATATGTATTTCATATGTTTGTTGTTTGAACTATCATTATTATTAGGATTTTGTTGCCAGTTAATCACTCAGGCTCGTTGAGTGTCAATTTAAGTCCCTGTATTTTTTAATCATCTTTCTCTTGTGGAACAGGTTACTCATATGTGGGATGCAGCAGGTTTTCGGTTTTGTAGTGAGGCAAATCTTCGGTAATACTACCTTCAAGTATCTTTCTGCAACCTACAGTTCTTAAATTGAGCTCTATCAGTAGCCACATGCAGTCTTAAACTGCCTAGTTTTTTTTACTACCCTGACAGACTTTACCACAAGGGAGGGACTGCTTGTAATCTAATATTTTTGTTGGGGTTACAGTAAAGGAACCTTTGGGTCAGGTTGTGAAAAGCTTGCTACCATGCTAGTTTCATGCATTTACTATTAGATAAAAAGTTGAGGCCTGGAATTGATTGTGAATCTGAGAGTGTGGCTTGATCTCAATTTTTGACATCATAAGCTAATAAAAAAATGAGTAAAATTAATCTTTTAGTCACTGAAATTAAAGAAACTCTCTTAGGGACTGAATTGAATTGTCACTGATTCTAGAAATGCATTAAAGTGTACTACATTCAATATAAGATGAAAATAAACAAGCTTTAAAAATCGAGTTTCCAGATGGGATTTGAACCCACGACCTTCTGTGATCTAGTCGGATGCTCTAACCACTAAGCTACAGGAGACTCTATGGTGAGCAAGGGTCAATTAGTGGGTATTGACTGGATGTTTGGCTGTGTAGCCGCTTGATGCGGTTCCAAAAAACTTTGAAATGGTACAAATGATTTCAATCCTTACCTGTACTGAAATACTTATAGCATGACTATAAGCATAAAGGGAAACATTTTGTGCACATTTAAACGGTAAATTATTTCATGTTTTTTTTAAACTTGTCTGCAAACTAATACATTGAGCTGGAGCATGGCTGTTGAGTGTGTGGGAAGGACTCTGGATTTGCTAGTCTGTTTCTTTTAATGTCTCTTTTAACAGTTCCCAGTTAATCAATTTTGAAGTGCTAATTTTGAGTATGATATGCACTGTATTATTCTAGTGTGAAGGTTTGTGTCTTTGGTGTAGCAGATCTGATGGTGGTGTGAGACAAGAGGACAACCTTTCTTTTAAATGTCCTTATTTTTTTTCATTTTATTCCATCCGCTAGCAGCTGCTCAAATAAGAACACTGGCTTTCTGTCTGACTTTTGTAATGTTGATAGAGATGTTAAGACTTCAATTCACACAGTGATAATTGTACCGTAATAAGAAAATTCATTACCTGACGAGGGAATTCCGCTTCGCGATTCGTGCGATATCGGTTTTCACGTGCAATTTAACGCGGAATTCACGAGTCAAATAATGAATTTTCCTCGAATCGCATGATTGAATAAAAATGAGAAAAAAAAGAAACCAGCATTACCTACAGTTGTTATGTATACTTAGATGCGAAACAACAATCACGCATTCTCGTTTTCAACTCGCAATTCCGCGCTTAATAATAGACCTGAAGAAATTACTCAGTTCTGATTGGTTAAGGTAAATGCAGTTTTCAGGTAATTCAGTGCAGAAGGGAGTTAATTCAGTGCAGAATAGGGTTAATTCAGTGCAAAGAAAGTAACAAACCAGACATTCTGATTGGTTAATAATCAAAGAAACTCACAGAATTATCAAACTCACTGAACAATTCCTTGAACTGTTTGGCCGGACTTTGAAATTTTTTGCGCGTTAAATATGTGAAAATTTCATTTTATCCTATTATTAAGGCACCTTTCAGCATTCAGAGGCCATGATTTTTAACGAATTGCCAGCAAATATAAGGAATTGCACAGATTTTAAAGAATACTGCAGGCTCTGCAAGGCGTTCTTAAAGGCGCGCGCTTTTTCTTCCTTGTAAAGATATAGAAACAACCACCACCACCANGGCCTTCACAGATGAAGAGCCACACCTTTTATGTGGATATACTGTGAATAAACCGTTATTATTATTATTATTATTATAATTATATTATTAATATTATTATTATTATTATTATTATTATTGTTTTGATCGTACGCGGTTGTTTTGACCGAACGCACAATGTCACCTACAGGGTTTGGATAAATTATTTTGCACGTGATGCGCGCGCTTTTCTTTTGCGTAATTATGATAAGCTACCTCCCATTTTTTCATGTATATTAAACATAATCACATGATTTTCCTCGTGCAATTTGGAATAAATAAGCACTTGTAAATTTTTTCAAAGACCACAAATTGCACTCGCCCTACGAGCTCATGCTCATGTTAGTCTTTGAAAAAATTTCCTCGTGCTTATTTAATCCAAATTGCACTCGAAATCATGTGATTACCTATACAAATACCTCGCTTCGTTAACCAATCAAAGTGCGATGTTTTATTCAGTTATGCGATTCTACACTGTATTGCATCGCATCCTTAAAGTACGCTAAAGTTTTGAAGAAGGGCCATCCATATCTTAAATTCTTTAGATGGTAGTAAAGGTAGTAATAGTAGTAAGAGGCCTCATGAGGCCTTTTATAGGGCAGTATACCGCTGGTAACCCGCGGAACCACGACTTACACTTGGGAAGAAACGTATTTTTAATTTTCCCTGAGTAGTGTAATTTCTTTGTGTGTGTGCAAATTTTATTTCACAATTTTGCGTATTCAGTTTTGTGACCAAAAAAGACCATTCTGTTCAATTTCTTTTAGATGCAAAAGACTTAAAAGAGAACCAGTCAGTGCCAAACGACGACATGGTTAAGTCCTCCATGCAGGGGGATGATCTGGATGCTAGTATTCCGTTCCACGAGCACCGCGCGAGTGCAGAAGAGAGATTGATCAGGTCACAGAAGCACTCAAAAGAGGAAGGAGGAAAGTTGACCCGAAATGTAACACTCCTTCAAGGCGTGTCACTTATTGTTGGTGTAATGATAGGTTCAGGAATCTTTGTTACTCCACGGTATGTTCTCCTACACTCTGGTTCTGTGGGAATGACTCTTTTGGTTTGGATTACATCTGGAGTCATGGCAACTCTGGGAGCTCTATGCTACTGCGAATTAGGGACAATGATTCAACGTTCTGGTGGCGAGCTAACATACATCCAGGAAGCTCTCGGGCCTCTTCCCGGCTTTCTTGTAAGCTGGACAATGGTACTTATTTTGAAACCGGCCTCTGTTGCCATCATCACTTTAAGTTTTGCTTCTTACGCTGTCCAGCCATTCTTGAAGGAAGGCAACGCCGAACCCGAAGACCTCATCAAACTCGTAGCCGCAATTTCCATCATAATGATCACGACCGTGAACTGTGTGAGTTCTCGTTGGGCAGGTCAGATGCAAATAATATTCATGATAATGAAGCTGCTTGCGATTGGGATGATAGTGGTAATTGGAGCTGCAAGAATTGCCAGTGGACACTATGAAAACTTCGTGTCTCCCTTTAAAGGAACTAATACAAACGTTGGAGAAATTGCACATGCGTTCTTTAGCGGATTGTGGGCTTATGACGGCTGGAACCAACTCAATTATGTGACGGAGGAATTACAGAATCCTCACAAGAATCTCCCTCGCGGAGTAATGATTGCTCTTCCTCTTGTCACTATTTGCTATACGCTGATCAATATAGCTTACTTAAGTATCCTGACACCAGCGGAAATGCTCTCATCCACAGCAGTAGCTGTAGCTGTCGCAGAGAAAGTTCACCCCGCCCTTGTAGTTGTTATGCCACTGTTTGTAGCGTGTTCCTGTTATGGTGCTGCTAATGGCTCCATTTTCACCAATGGAAGAGTTGTTTGCTCAGCGGCTAAAGAAGGACACATGCCTCGATATCTAGCCGCCATCAGTGAGCGTTTCCACACTCCATTACGAGCAATAATGTTCCCATCATTTATTTCCATTTGCATGTTAATACTCGGGGATTTGGGTTCCTTGCTGAGCTGTTTTAGCTTTGTTGCATGGATCTTTCTGGGTTGCACATTCCTGTCGCTCCTGGTTCTGCGCTGGAAGAAACCGCATGAGTATCGTCCCTACAAGGTGTGGATTGGTATTCCTATTGCCATGGTGACGATTTCGTGCTACCTTATTATTGCCCCTCTGATTGCCAAACCTAAGTCATCGGTAGTTGCTGTGGCATTTGTTTTATCTGGTGTACCAGCATACTTTATATTTGTCAACCGCAATAAGTAGCATTGCTGAGATATCTTAGCTATTATTCAAGGAGATATGTACATTTATTTGTAAGAATCAAAGTAACGATAGGTTGAATGAGACAAGGGACAGAAAAATGTAACTATTCGATCTTTGTGCGATTATGTTTTAAATGGCATCGCGATTAACTTGTAACTAGTTATATCGAACGTGTATCACGTACATAATTAACAGTTTGATGCCGAAGTTTTTTTTAACAGAATCTCCCTACAACTCCTGACACGTCATTAGAGCATAAAATGCCAGCAATTTTGATCTGTATCAGCTGTATATCGGAGTCATATCAATAACTTGAATTGTTGCAATACTAACTCCTCAGTGAAAACCCCAATGCCCCCTCCTTGGGAAACTAAGCTCTTTTCACCACGTGTTCAGTGACTCTCACTGAACACATTCCTTCACTTCTGGAATCGATTCCAGTGACTCATTGACCGTCGGCTTTTCGTGAGCACGATGCTTTGAAGGGGACAGAAATGGGGTGTGCCCCGATCCCGTTTCACGCACGAATTTTAGAAAATTTCACGTGTCACACGAACGTTAAATGATAATTCACGTGTCATGGATTTAAGAAGGGAGAACTTCATTCTCACCTTACTTTGCCCTTCTGTAAAATCAACGCCTCATGTATTAATTTTGGGCTTAATCACGCGTTACAATTAAACCCTTTGCTTCCCTCTGAGAAGAATTAAACTGTGTATAACCATATTAACTGGGCTTGAATTGCTTGAGCTCAAGCGGAATATTCGAAGTGCCATGGCAAGAAAATTGCCGTCACGGTGGTTTAAGCTTTCGCTTCGTCGACTAGTTGACCGAGACGAACGGTTTCCTGGAATGCGCAGTCTGACCATTTTGCTCACTCAGTTTCATGATTGTAGCCGCAGACAAGGGTAAAGAAGAAAGAAACCAGTTGTCACATGCGACGCCAATGACCAGACAAATCCTGAAATTACAAAAGAATAGTGACCATGACAAATAGTCACTTAAGAGTACGAACAGTTACTTGACTTGGAAAGAAGCGATGATCATCCTAAGTGTTCTTGGACTTATTTTTTACCAATTGTACTGATGCAAAAAGTGCCCTTCGGATCTAAATGAGATGTTCCTTGAGAAAAAGAAAAACATCATAGTCTTACAGTGATCGATCATTCATCTCAGAGCAGAAAATTAAAAACAGCATTATAACAATTTATCATATAAGGGGCAAAATTACTTGAAAATGATTGGCTGAAAATCGCTTAGCAACGGCTGCCGAGGTAAAGAAATTTCTGTTTGTTTTGTGACAAAGGCGTCCCGTTTTGCGCGAGATCAGTAAGGAAACACTTTGCCCCTTATATTATAAACAAGTAATCACATGGTTCCTCGTAAAATTAAGGATTAATATCACTTGCGTTTTCGGAAGTTGCAGAAATTGCCCTCGTCGCTACGTGACTCGGGCAATTTCAGCAACTTCGGAAAACACGCGTGATATTAATCCTTAATTTTACTCGGCCCCATGCGATTACCTATACATATAGCCTTATTCTGTTAAAAGCAGGATTTTCTTCAATATAACTTATTCTTGCTGCGTGAATATCATTGACTGACCTACTTACTGTAAATCCTCTAATTAGCCCCCAAGGGGTTTAATTATTTCAAGTACTTTGGGGGGGGGTGACTTATTAGGGAGGAGGGGGGGGCTTAGTAATTATACCTGATGTTCACTATTTATTAAAAAATTGTTCTCATTTTACATTCTTTCATTTACCAAATTGGCAGAGTCAAAATCCTCAGTAAAGTCTGATGAGTTGTATGATTTGTCATAATCATCTTGTAAATCAGTAAAGCAGAAACACAACAAAACGGCAAACCAGAGTCAAATGAACAACAATGATTTGCTACATCGTACTAGTAAAGCTCGATTACAGTTCAACATCAATCGTTTCCTCATCTTCATCCAAAACTAGATGTGCCACGTCTTCCAATACCATTTCCTCTTTTGGAATCTTTCAAACGGATCTTCCATCTCGTCGATCCTGATCGATCTGACACGCTTGTAATTTTGGTAGTAGGCTTTGACATGGAATCTCGAAAGGGACAAAAAAATCAATTCAAACTCTGTATTATTTCATGAGCACCTTCGAGCAGAAAGGTCAGTGTTTTTTATTTGTATTTTCACATGCAACCTACGTCCCGTTAGTTCTGTTGTGGAAATTTCAGCGTCAACTAATACAATTTATCGGCCGAATTAACTAAAATTATTTTCTGGTCACGAATTTCAAAACGAAGAGCATCAATGATACGATAAAAGGGGAGAATACCTTTCATTTAAACAGTATTTCACGAAGAAGGTTCGCCAAGGACGTAGTATAGATATGAAAATCATAACAAAGCTGATTTTCTCTGTAGTATTGAATTTCTACCGAGAACAACTTCAGGCAAATGGTTTGTCAGTCAATATCATAATAATTTAATTTGAGAAGTGTGGAGGGCAGATAGAAGCTATATACAACCAGAATATAAGGAGACCAGAGAGCTAATCAAGTCAAATGCCCATCGGCAAGAGATGCAGGACACAGACGGACATTAAACTTATCACAGTGTTGGATTCCAGTGGTTGATCCCACTCTAACAAACTTATAGGTAAGTCTAGAATAAATGAAACAGTATAACTGAAATCTTCAAATTGAATTTGTGGCATGTACACTGGTATTCGTCCATACTATTTTCTGTTGTCGTGTCACTGTAATGACACGAAATGGAATGTTTACAATTAAACCTTTGCTTTTTTAGATAAAAATGAACCTCAGCTTTGTCCAGTATAAAGAAGTTACTCTATCGTGATCTTTATTCAAGTTTTTCCAACCGGAGAGAATAGCGACTTAGTTTATCATGAATAGAGCTGAAAATGCGGTGAGCTTATTACATTTGATATTCCTACATGCTACACGCACGTGAACACTGCACTTCATGATGACGCTGGTTGAGTTCATTACTATGGTATAGTATATGCAATATACTTTTAACTTCATTGATGGTCAAATTCATGTTGATGTTTATTTGTAGTGTTTTCGTGTCGTTTATACTGGTCTGCTAACTGTGAAAATCGTCGTTAAGTAGACACTCAGCACATGATTTGTAGCTGAGCCAGCTGGCCTATCGTACGTCTCCCTGGTTCTTATTGATTATCGGTCACCACAAGGGTTTTCTTTAAGACTTTGAACTAAATATTCGATCAACAATAGCTGATGCACGCAAAGTGACTCAACCGCAAATCTTTAAAACGCTATCTTTTTTATGATATTGCTCATTTCAAAAGAATCCACAAAGAATAATATTTTAGAGAAAATTATCACACAATTGCCAAAATTGAGCAGCAACATGTCCAAAACAAATAGTGTGATATGAAGTCAGAACGCCTACATGAGTGGTTTGTTTGAGGTATCTCGAGACGATTTTTATGGTTTTGAGTTTTTGAATGCCATTTGAAAACCCCACACATGTTTCAGCACGTTTCAGAATGTTATGCCATGACTTCTAGCATCCTCCCCTTGATGAAATCTTTAGTTTTTGTAGCTATCCCCAAGGCTCTTCCCGTTTCGCTCAGTTGCCTCTGTTCTAGGGTTAGAAATAAACAATTCTGAAGATTTTTCGACGACAACTACAAAAGTTTTTCAATGCTGAAACTTCTGAATTAATCAGTGCATTCTTCGGTTAATTGAACCACTCGTGTTCCATCATGCAGTTTCAGCCCATGTACAAGGCCGAGGGAAGACGCTTTATAGGGCTTTAATATTGAAGAAGACAAGAATTTTTAGAAAGTTGAGGTGATAAGAGAATGACTTTAATAGTTGCAGCATAGGGATACCAAGTTATTTTTACAAATTATTGAAATTGCAAGCCGCGATTCTAGGGGTTTATTGGTTTCTTGGTTCCTCAGTATAGTGTGTTGGAGCTTGGTGAAGGCAACAGAGCTTGTGCAGAATCAGAGTCCGACCCGTGAGTTCGGAAAGATTTTGATTCATTTTTTCAAAGAATTCCCCTTCAGTATATCTCTAGAGTTAATTCATCATTTAGATTTGTCTGAGATTCACCATATATTCCTTAATCAATGTAATTCTACGTTGTCTCTCGATAGGTCTGTCATCAATTGACTAAGAAGCATTGCAGTTCTGGCTTAGCCTAAGAAACTTCTTTCTTCCAACTGACACAATTTTATTCCGTATTTCGGGGAATTAATTTCCTTCTATTTTATTTCCAGTCATCAGACTGACTTAAGCAGTGTTTCTTTGCCTCCCTAGATAATGCTTGTTTCCAAGTTTTATCAGAAGCCAAAGCCTAAGACAAACATGAGTCATAAAGAAGATCAAAAGGAGGAGAAACAGCAACAACGAGGCAAAATCAACAATAACAACAACAACAACAACAAAAATAAAATAAAAAACAAGCTAAAAGGTATGGTTCCTTCCTCGTAAGTAACTGGCAAATGTCATAATTATTTCTGTTGATCGATGCGACTCGATAAAATCCTTCCCCCCAACTCATTCACATTTCACCAAAGTTTTGTTGTACGTGTCAAAGACCGTTTTTGTGCGTCTTTTGATAAATTGCCATGAGAGCCTTGAAGATGAGCGTAGTATCCGAAAAAAAATTCTCATTTGGTTTATAAGTTTTTTTTTTCCTGGCCTGCCCCTTATTAGATTTGCCCGCGGCCGACTGTCCTGATAAAATTTACGCGCAGCCTCCTCCTCAGTCCCAAGCGCACGCGGTAAAACTAGTACGAAGCACCAGCGATAGGTGACGCGCCCACTGGTTTTTCTAACAGAGATAAGTTTAGGTAGGATCGAGCAGAGTCATGTGCAGGTGATACATGAAGGTGCAGTTGACATTAATACACTAAAATGTGTGCAATTTTTGTAAAACTTACCTTCAGCAACCGTTACGTGTACTTCCAAACAACAAAGCATACGATTTTTTGCACCGTTTCTTGATTTGACAGCCTCATCAGGTCACAGGATCTCCTCTCTTTGAGAGAGAGCTGACCTCTAAGCTTTTTAGTGACAGCCTCCTTCTGTGCTCGGGAGACCATCATATTTCAACTAGTTTTTCGTCTCTGTTTATGTCTAGTCTATTAAACCTTACGGTGACGTTTACAAACGTCACCGGTTTCTCTCCTTTCTGCCTTAAGGAATTTCTATGTTGGGATAACTTTAATAAGTCTAAACAAGTGAAACTTATTTAAAGACAATTGCCACAAAATCCCGGCGTGTGAAGTGGAGAGAAGAAAAGGAGAAGAAAATGGCAAAATTTTTGGCTAGCGATACTTTCATTACCCTCAAGGGATGACTACTTATTACGTGCAGATTATGATTAACGTAGAATTATTATTCCGTGACAGATGTGTTACGACACGCCTGAGGAGTTATCAAGTCTCGTCGCCTTATTGAGAATATTGTCTCTTTCCATTTACAAAGTTTAATCAGAGTCTTAATATCATCTCAGCTGTGTTTAGGTTGTTCTTCTCCTTATTGTTTACTTTTTTCGCTGTAGGAAGCTGTTGATAAACTAATCTCAGTCGGGATCCTCTTTCGTATTTACACACATCCGAAATCACACAATCCACGACGTATATCTTCTCCTAAAAACTTGTAAAACTTCTACATAGATTTTCACTCCGTACAACTATGCCGCTAGGAGTCTTACAAGTCCACCAGTCTAATCCAGCCGAGAGGGGTGGGGAAGGGACAGGAGCTGGACTCAAAGGAGGCGAATTGTAAGGAGGCGGCGTGGCTTAGTGGTTAGGGTGCTACACTTGTAATCCGGTGTCCCGGGTTCAAATCCTCTACCCTGCCACTTATTTGATTTGTTCTCGGTTGCTCCTAGTTCAACTCCTCCGCTGCGCTCTGTAAATAGCCCACTAGTCTGCCTCCTTCCAGTGGGGATTTTTAAGCACTTAGTTAGTTAAAATTGGGGCTGAAAAGCCCCTAAGGGGGAGCTTCAATTTACGTATTTATTTTATTTTATTTTTATTTATGTTTGGGTACACGGTATACGGATATGCGGCAGGGCTTTGCGCACTCACCCTATTAAAAAAATTAGTTTTCTCTCCACCACCTGCTTAATTAGGACGAAGAAAAAGAAAGGACTTTGGCGTATCGACCACTTAGAGCCATATGCAGTGTATTTGGACGAAGAAAGAAAAAATTATTAGTACTACGCATAGCTAAACTTTGATCTTAACTGAGTGATGGTACCTTTTTTGTGTAGCTTTTTTGTGTAGCTTTTTTGGGATACTTTTGATGAGCAGTGCGTACCCCTCTTAGCCCATTTGGGTAGTTTGCCTTCCCCTCCCCCCCTTTCTAGAGCAAAACTGGCCAGTATTAAATATATCTTATTAACCAAGCGCGAGGGCCGTACTGGGAGAATATCGGCCCGAGGTCTTGACAGTACGGACCGAGCGCAGCAAGGTCCGTACAAAAAAAGACCGAGGGCCGATATTCTTCCAGTACGATCCCGAGCAAGCTTGGTTAACAAGAGATTTATTACACGACTGAAGTTCAAAGGGACACAAGTGCGGTCATTCGGGAGCATTCGGGACAGTGCCCGGTCCAATACTGAGAGAATATTGACCGGCAATAGAGCATTTTGATTGATTGATTTTAGTTATTGGCCCTCTGACTTTCCGAGTCGTGTAATAAAAAAAAAATATTGTAGTCACGCAATTTCTCAAACCCACACGTGTCACACTGTACGAATAGGTTTGAGCACATCACGTGATAGTTCAAATCCCTGTCAGATCAAACGTCAGCGCTATTTATAAACCAGGGTGTCCGCAGTGACCATTACTGGAGACGGATCTTCGAAACAAGTTTACTGCGTACGGCACAGTTAGTCACTAGTTCTGAGTAAGACTACTTTGTTATTTACCGATTCGTCTCCGAGGAAGTCATGACATATACAAAAAATATTGAACATGCGAAGGAATGATATCTGTACTGTCAAGCCTAACCCAATATTCTAAATTCGAAATCAGCCGCAGGACACGAGAGCGTTCAGTGATTATGACGTCCAAAACGAAAAATTTTACATGGTTGATTGAGTAGCCCTGGAAACGAAAGCTAGTAAAGAGGGAGAGAGAGAGAGGGAGAGAGAGAGGGAGAGAGAGAGAGGAAGAAAAGGGAATAAAACAACATCAGAAAAGGAAAATGAAAAAAGAAAACTGTATTTATTGACTTTATCGAGGGCAAAAAAGGAAATATTTCAAACACGTGCGCAAGCATCTACTCATATCTATATTTGCCACATTTCTTTTTCAATGTGACCTTGCGGTTGGCTACTGACAAGTCACATGTTTGACATATGGCAAGTTCTTGAAATTCATAATTATTTTGTTTCATTCAAAATATTGAACCTAATCCTTTTCAAAGTTTAATCGAAAATGGCACAAATACGTGTTACGGGAGTTTTTGAGATCTTAAGAACGATTGCTTTTCGTCACATGGTCTGAGCTTACGCGAAAAAAGCTGAACCTTGTTCTCTTTCGCTCAGTAGGCTAAACTTGAATTTCGTAACAAAGAGCTAGGAAAACAAAACGTTTTGACGTTGAATATTCTGACGAACAAGCGATGATCATGGGACCATAACCGGTTTTGCCAGTAGTAGTGAGCAGTAGCAATCCAACGGAGCATGCGCACATTTGAGTAGCATAGCAACTGACAAATGGTGGCTGGCCGGCTAGTGTCCCTGTGAAAATACCTCCTCACGGCCTCCCCCAGAGTGGATGACGGTTCATGCGCTATTGAATCTGGCCGTTGAGTTGAGTTCCTTTCTGCAGTATTTACTCGCACTCCTCGTATTAACAACCGCCATTTTAGTCGTTTTTGGTGACTTTTTCGCTTTGTCGAGAGTAGTTCTCGTAAGCTTAGGGTTTGAGTGGTCTGACCGAAGTTTTAGTTTTGCTCTTTCACTCCTTATCGATTAGGAATTACGTATTCGTTTGCAAGATTGTGGAGAAGGCAAGAGATGTGATTTGGCCGTGTTGTTTACAGCAATGGACGGCCTTTTCACTCCCTTTGTTGGCTTGACATAGCGTTCTTACTAGGCCAGTCTTAAGAGAGAACAACTAGATAGACATTCTACGAGGTAGAACCAGGAAACGGTAGAAAACTTTCAGGATGTGACTTTCATTTAGACGGAGCAATGGAATTCTCAAAGTACTACGTTCATCTTTGTATGGCACCAGTGTATTGGACTATTTCTCTTCTCTGACAGTTTCTTTTTTGACTTCTTCTGACGTTTAGTTAAACGTTATGGAGATTCAAGTGGATGAATCTCCAAAGGAAGAACCTATAAAGCCTCCGAAACATGTACAATTTGAGCTAAGTAATGTTGTCGCAGAGGATGAATCAAAATTTATTGAACCTAATGTAGCTTCTTTGGTCGATGGCACTCAAAAAGGTACAACTAAGGGAGAGAACCGAGAGAAAACGGTGGGACTAGAAGCAGAGGAGAAAGCAGTTGGAGTAAGTCCAGATGGCCGGTTCCTCAAATTCGACATTGAAGTTGGCAGAGGCTCCTTTAAAACGGTCTACAAAGGCTTGGACACAGAAACCGGGGTCGCTGTGGCGTGGTGTGAACTTCAGGTAACTTGTTCGTGTATTTACAACATGCGGATTATTTTTTATCGTCGGTGTGCCGTGTTTTAAAGGTTAGTAATGGAGTGATCTGTAATAATCATTTGTTTTTTACGTTTGTACTTCTTTCAAGGATAAATATTCAAAAGCCGAGCGAGCGAGGTTCAAAGAAGAAGCCGAGATGTTAAAGCAATTACAACACCCAAATATCGTGAAATTCCACGACTCTTGGGAGACCAGAATCGCAAATAAAGACAAGAAAAGGGTTATTTTAGTGACGGAGCTAATGACTTCAGGAACTCTGAAAACGTAAGTGTCAGATACATGTTCAAGCTAACTGTGTGGCCGCCATTTTCTGCCACGAATTCATGTGTTGTAAAATTTGCATGGGAAGGAGGCAGGAAATTAGGATGTGACGAAACTGTCTTGCGATGTCTGTAAATTTTGAATGAATTGGCAAACAAAGACACGTTGTTTTACCTGTGTTAACTTAAAATTGCCAAAACTTCG